GTTCAAGGTACTTAAAAATATATACAAAACAAATGAGAATATATATATATATATATATATATATAATTTGTTCAAATATTTATAATATATTTTCATGCTTCCGACGGCATATTTATGTTAAATTATAGAAGGCTTAAAATATCGTTTTGCTCTACACTTTAACTTTTTCAGGAATTTAGACTAAAATAAAATGATTTTATATTTGATAGGTTTGGTTCAAAAGAGCATTTAGAATAAGATTTATTAATATATGCATGAAAAAAAAAGTAGCTGAGGTGAAAACCTACTTAAATCATGAAGAATCATCAGTAAAAAAAAAATATATAGTTTTCCTTTCCTAATCATCAATAATAATTACAAACAAAACGTCAAGGTTTGGACCTAAACATGTAGATCCATAATTAATGCCCCAGACAATGATGAGAAACAGAAATAATTAAGATAACGACGGTAATAATAATATATTTTCTTAAATGATATTAAGACAGGTAGAAGGAAATTATAGAGAAAAATTATAATAGGATATAAACGAGATTAACAACAGAAAAAAAAACATAACTCTTCGTCTTTATTTTTTCAGATTTTAAATTCTTCATTTGAAATTGCTTGTAATAGTTTGTAACTCTTCTATTAGTTATAGCTGTGGGTTTTATATTTTTTCATTTCGATGCCATCAAATGAAATGAATAGAATGACTAATTCTAATTTCAACATTTTTTATTACTAATTTTAGTGATGTTTCTAGTGGGAAAATTTATACCTTTGTTGAGAGTTCTATATTTCAACATTGCAATCACCTACTCTGGAATCAACTTACTAACTGCCTGTACAGATATTATAAATTTCCCAATTAGAAATATTACTAAAATGACTTTATTCAAAAATTTTAAAATTGGAGTCAGTCATTCTGTCAACTGAAAGGCTCATCTATAAAAGGTAATCTCTCCTCGCCCCTCACAAACATGAAATCTAATTTTACTATTGTTTCTATTCATTTATTTTTATAATATTGTTCTAATCCATAAGATGATTAGCATTATATATATTTCGATAATATAAATCGAAAGATTTATCAATAACATTATTATGTGCATAACATTCTCCATCAAACTATGTAATAAAGTTTGATGTTTTTCTTTGAATAATCGAGTCACGTCAAGCTTCATAGCACTTCCGAAATTATCGTTGTTTCGCTTTCTCTAATTTTCTTGTAAACAAAGAAGAAAAAAAAAAAAAAAAGCAATGTCTCGAATTACACAAATCAAATTTCTTCTGAAATTAATAAATTTTGTGGTTTCTTTATGACCCGAAACAGCGGTCATCAACATCTTCCTGTTTTATTTGGCATCGATAATTATTTTTGGAACTTTATTTTAATATGTCAGTTCATAGTCATATTTTTACCAGTACTTATTTACTCGTCAGATTTTTCTGTACATGGTATAAACAACGATTTGTATATATAAATATATATAAAGTTGGCAAAAATATTTAAATAATACTTTTTCGACGGTCTAAATCACATGGCAGCACCGTTCAAAGTTTTAACATAGTTGGTAAAATTTAACCGTTTATTTCGAACATACCCAGGACCGAATACGCAAAGTTGATTAAGTAATACAAATTTGAATTGAATATTCTTTAAATCTTGAAATAAGAACTTTTTTCACTAGGTAGCATCTTTTTGGAGTTATAAATTTAATTAGTGAAAAAAGTGAAATTTTAAATTTTTTTTCCATCATTTATGCCTTGAAACGGTCTTTGTCATCTACATAATTGATGGTCGTTGACAGAAGAACATTTTCATGCATTATACAAGTATGTTAAGAGTGACATAAGTCGTATTTCAGAACAAAGACAATAAATTGTATACTTTCCGTCAATTTAGGCGTAGATTTTTATGTAAATATTTTGTAATAATATTATATTTGTATTTATTTCTATGGGGTCGTTCCATTGATGGGAATTTATATATGTATTTATATTGTATCTATATATTTAGAAATTTGACTTACTTTATTTTCGTTTAAGAAATCTATTTTCTAAATATACATCTAAGTAATTTATTTTCTTTGTATTCGAAAATTTCAAATTGTCGAATTATGATGACACTAGTCCACTCCCACAGATTACAGGAAAGTGCAGGGAGTAAACTGTTGTAACATGCCTCAGAATAGGGCACACGTGGCTCACCCACCCATGGTCATCTCCTCGATGGGAAATCGCCACCAAGATGTCGCAACTGCAACGTACCTTTAAAAACTAAACATGTTGTAGTACATTGTTCGAGACTGGATTAATCAAGAACATCCTATCGCCTACGAGGATACCGACAAGTCCTACAATCAGAAAATTTGTTCCAATTTCTTAAACAACGCAATTACTGCAGACATATTCAAACGACACAATCCTTATATACCTTCCATGTATATATAGTCCAGTCAATGAATGATTATTGAAGGAGATGGCGGGGACACAATTTTTGACTATGGGACATTGTTTTGACTAGTAAGGATGTAAACATACTAAAAGTCCCCACTCCTAGGTGGTGAGCCAAATGGAAGGAGGACGTCTAGATTACTTTATTCGGATTTTCACTTATATAAGGAAAAATATCCATCGCATCGACAAAAACGTACTATACAAAATTAAAGCTGATAAAATTTTCAATATGATTGATTATATACCTTTTTTCGCTATCTCGCTTAGTTTCCAAGATATCCGTCCTCAACTATCAGTGATGTGAAAAATAAAAATTACCTGATGTTTTTTACTGTATTTGACTAGCTAACTCTTGATTGCTCCTTTCTTCGATTAAGCCGTAAGGAAAAAGGTTTTTAATAATTAAATTTTCTTCAAGAACATATATAATATTTTACTAATTTATCTCCATCGGTTCAAAAGTTAGTTATCAATTATACCTTAGGTCAATTCCGAGATTTTGCAGAAAAACAATAATTTTTATAATATTTGTTATTATATTGCTCTAACTCTCAATACATCTAAATCTGTATGTATATATATATATGCACCTATACAGACATACATACAAATACTTTTATAATAAAAATTAATTTTTACGGCGAATTATCGGAATCGACATATAAAGCTACAACTGACTTTTGAACTGGTTGGAGATAACTCGTAAAATAATAACTATTTCTGAAGAAAATTTAATTATTTAAGACTTTCTTCCCCCATGGCTTAATCGTAAAACGAAGCAATCAAGAGTTAGCTAGTCAATAAAGAAAAAAAAAAGCAATGTCTCGAATTACACAAATCAAATTTCTTCTGAAATTAATAAATTTTGTGGTTTCTTAAAGACCCGAAACAGCGGCCATCAACATCTTCCTGTCTTATTTGGCATCGATAATTATTTTTGGAACTTTATTTTAATGTGTCAGTTTATAGTCATATTTTTACCAGTACTTATTTACTCGTCAGATTTTTCTGTACATGATAAAAACAATGATTTGTATATATATAAAGTAGGTAAAATTTAACCTTTTTTCCGAACATACCCAGGACCGGATTCGTAAAGTTGATTACGTACTCGAATTTAAATTAAATATCCTTTAAATCTTGAAATAAGCACTTTTTCACTAAGTGGCATCTTTTTGGAGTTATAAATTAATTACTGAAAAAAAGTCGTCTGGCTTAATCGTAAAACGAAGCAATCAAGAGTTAGCTAGTCAATATGAGATAAATATGAGGTAAAAAAATTTGTTTCTCCACATTAGCGATAGCTGAGGACGGATATCTCGAAAACTAAGCGAGATATCGAAAAAATGTATATAATCAATCCCATAGTAAATTTTATTACCTTAAATTTTGTATAGTACATCTTTGTCGATGCGATGGATATTTTCCTGATACAAGTGAAAACTCGAAAAAAAAAAGCAATAAACACCAGGTAAATTTTTTCTCTCTCAAAGTTAGCCATAGTAGAGGACGGATATCTCGGAAACAAAGCGAGATAGCAAAAAAAATATAATATAAATCATACTTCAAATTTTAATAGCTTTAATTTTGTATAGAACGTCTTTGTCGATACAATGGATAGTTTTTCTGATATAAGCGAAAACGCGAAAAAAGTGACCTACTAGGCACCACCCTCCAAATCTGTCTCACTACCTAGGAGTGGGGACTTTTAATATGTTTACCTCCTTACTAGTCGAAACAATATCCCACAATCAATAATTATGTCGCTGCCATATCCTTCTATACCCCGTTTTCGAGCATTAATTGACTGGACTAATAAGTACTAACTTATGCAGTTGCAACAACGCATTATCTACAGACATATCTTTACAACACAATCTCACCTGAAACAATGCAATTTTTTACAGTAATTTTCCTATTGTATGTGTAATTGTAATGAATATGAAACTGAAAAAGTGCCTTTAACACATGCAGTTGAACATTGAACCCGAATATACAACTAACTAAATCAATACAAATTGACGAAATATAAGAAATCTTTGTATCATGAATCACTTCAATATTTTATATCGGAAGTGTTTAAGTCCATGAGGGTAAATCTCAAAATGAAAACTTGACAACAAAAGAAAAAAACTTATTCGAACTGTTTTGTTAGTATTTTCACGAAATAATTTAAATGTTTTAATCATAGTCAAATGATATATTTTAGGTTGAGAAATTATTCACTTGACTAAGATAATAAATAATAATAATAAACTAAGATAATAAGAAAATAAAAATGTAGAAAAGTTTTTCTACAAGATTTTATATTTTGATCTTTTAGGCGTATATATTTTACAAAAATATACCATTTAAAAAAAATAAAAATTCCTTTTATAAATAAAAGAATCATTCGATATTCTCAGACGTTTTATTAATTATTCGGGTTTTTTTCTAGACCCATAAATCTTCTGATTAGATAAACGATGGTATTGTTAGTCTACGTTAACAATTGTCTGGTTAAATTATTTTATCATTAAAAAATTAAAAATAATAATAATTAAGCGAACAAAAATTACCCTTCGTGCAACCAGTCCATGACGAACGACTCAGCCAAACTGACTTAGCCCGCTATCTTGGAGGTGGTAGGAGAGGGTGGTGGGGCTGAAGAAACTAAGATTGGGATATAGTTTTATCACGGCTACCACCGAATTCAATATTTTTCTCGAAGAAATATTTTTAAAAAAGGCAACAAAAATCAATATTAAATATATAATTAAATCAAATTGGTAATGCCCGGCCTTAAAACCATTGGTAATCGTTGGTGAAACTATTTATATTTATTAATATAAATACTTTTTATATATATTTGTTAATTTATTGTTAATGTATACTTTTTATATATATATTTGTTAATTTATTGTTAATCTATACGTTTTATATATATTTGTTAATTTGTACTGATTGATACACGTTGTTTTTGCATATTATTTATTGGGTTGTTTTATTTTCACTAATTGTTTGGTTTATTTTGAAGTACTTATCTTTTTCTGTCTACATTTGGTGACCTTTGGAATAATATTTTATTTTAAAATATGGCTCCCAACCTAAAAAATTTTACTTGAAAACTTATCTTTTTCATTTATTTATAAAACAAAAATATTTTCTTAGCTTCATGCAAAATTTTTATTATTGTTATTTTAATATAACTGTTATCTCATTTTGTACATTTCACCTTTTTCTCCTCTTATTCGTTTATATTTATCATTTGTCTGGTGTTATTTTGTATTTTTCAATTTTTTTGTACGATGACTCACATGGTTCGAAACATCGGTAAGGTGAATAAAGAATTTTTTGACTGCACACTCTGACCACTTTTCATCCTTTAAAATTTGTAATAGATTTTCATATATTCAAGGTAGATATATAATTTTTAGGTAAAGAATATGGTGTTTTATTATATCGTAATATAATAATGTATATGTTTTACCAGAAATATATTGGCTGAGTTATTTCTCTGGTATTGTATTATTCAATCCATATAATCCGTGGTACAGACTACTTTTTATCAAATTATTAACACCCACCTGAAACTTCGCAAATAGCTTCATCTCATCGTAACCTATACATATTTTATTTACAAAAAGTCTGGGAATTGGGGCGCTTTCAATCTGGAGGTCGGCAAACTTTGTCTATTTAATTAGGTACTAAAATCTCGTAAATTTCCATTTGCTTTCCACTTGAATCGTAAGATAACTTGAACACAAAGTCGAGAAAAAAGGTGGCCTTAAAAAATCCCCAAATTATCAAAATAACGAGGTTGTATAGGCCAAACGGCCCAATATTTTTTTAGGCCATTTTTTTATCGATTTTGTGATCAAATTATCGTATGATCCAAGTGGAACGCAAATGGGTATTTAAGAGTTTTTAGTACCTAATTAAATAAACAAAGTTTGTCGACCTCCAGATACAAAACGCCCTAATTATGAGAATTTTCGTAAATAAAATATTTGTAGGTTACGATGGGATGAAGTTATTTACGAGGCGGATGTTAATAATTTGATAAAAAGGGGTCTGTACCACGGACGATTATTTATTTTTCTGTCACTTGAGTGTAGCCAACATTATCATATTACTGAGATATAATTTTAAAAAATCCATAACCAATGACTCTCAAATAGTTGTAAATAATTAATAAGTCTCTCTCTCTCTCTCTCTCACCTCTCTCTCTCTCTCTCTCTATATATATATATATATATATATATATATATATATATATATATATATTATTTCTTTTCTTTAAACAAAAATATCTTTATTCATGCAGACTACGATGCAATGCATAGTGAGACGAAACACTCCGTTCTTTAGACATGGGTTTTCATCAAGATATTCCTTTAAAGTGATTTGAGTTCGTATAGGTCATTTATAATATACTAATGAAAAAATGTAAGTAGATTTATATAATAAAAATCTACCTTAAAGTCTTAACAAAGTTATACGATTTAAAATCAAGTGCTTTAATATTTTCAGGGATCATTATTTTTTAAAAAGTGTTATCCAATTATATCAAGTATATCCAACGGTTCAGCGTGAGCGTGAACAACGGAGGTCAAATCACCTCTTCGCACAGCCGTTGACCAAAAAACAGTACTTTTCATAAACAGCACTAGCGGATCCAGGATTTAATTTTGCGGGGGCTTCAGCCCGAAAGATTTTTTTTATTTATTTATATAACGATAATTACTTTGGAAAAAAAAGAAAGTTACCAACTACCCATATTAAATGGTGTTTAAGTTATTCTTGATGTCTTATTAAATGTAATTACACAAACAATAATATTTTAAGAAGTTGTTTTTAAACTTTTTTTTCCATAAAACGTGGTTACATCTTACCGTTTTGGGGAGAAGGGCTGTAGCCCGAAATCCCCCCTTACTCCCCTCCGTTGGTCCGCCTGTGATAAACAGTACTGAATTCAAGACTCTTCATGGGTTGTTGTGGTACAGGCTTTATCATCCAATTAAACTGTTGTATTAAATTAAACAATATCTCAATTTAATAAAAAATAATGATTTTATTAAACGATGTGTCAGTTTAACAAATACGGATTCTTAAATTCGGATGGTTTTCCGAATTTCTTTTGTTTACGTTTAAATATTTCCTAAAACAATGGATTTACTATGTAACCATTAAAATATAAGATCTATACCATTATAAGTGAGTAGAATAATATTGTTTAGTCATCTAATATTTGTCATACATATTGATTAATGTACCCACGATTTGAAAAGATATATTTTTCCATTAAAATACTTTGTAATGATTGAGAACAGACTTTGGAAGACTTCAAAGCCTAAAGAAAGTGTTTGCACTCATAACTTGTCTCTGAACCACTGTCTTTTTAATATTCATTCAGGATGACCGGGTAACTGGGAGGGAGAAAATGACAGTAATAGTGGTTTAGGATGATTAAGAGTTGGTGTGTGAAATGTGGTATGTTTGTTATAACTATAGTTATATACACATGTCCACGTTAGGGGCGGGGTGACCGAGCAGGCTAACGAGTGCCCACAGCATCCTGGGTTACCCCGCAACATGGTAACCGAAGTTTAAGATAAACAAATTATTACGAGTTCAAATCCCGGTGCCCGGTGGGACTTTTAACTCCGCATAATCCCCCCGCCTTCTCACCCGGCCCGGGAAAAACCGCGTGGAGCCTAAAAGGCAAGGGATGGAAGGAAAAAAAACAACACATGTCCACGTCGTAGTGTAGTGAAGTAGATTCAGGAGTCAATTTTGGGGACTAATTGTATTGTATTGTGCTTTTAATGCTTTTTGTATTCTGTATAATTGTATATAGGTATGACTGTGTTTTTACGTTTTTTAATTTACTTATCTTTAGGTTATTTTATTTTTTATTGTACATAGTTTTTGATTATTTTACTTTTGTTAATTTTATATTTTCTGTATATATTGTGTTTATGTGTTTATGTATCACTATAATTATTGTCCACGTGACAGATTATTATATTTCTAAATAAATAATTTTTTTTTTAAATTCTTGAAATCTTAAGAGATCCTTGAAAATCAAATTTTATATTTTTTCTAGTTACGTAATTTTTACTAGTAACGTACTTCAGCTAACATTTGTTAGCTGAAGTACGTGCTTTATTATTTAATAATGGAGCATCGTGATTGTTTAAATACTCCTATTTGACTCTGATCAAGCGCTGTTACAAATACGGACCAATTAAAGAATAAAACATTTCCTCCATCCCGAATACAAACTTCTGCTCCGTATGTCCAATAGGTATCAGCAATAGTGGTGTAGATTAATCGCTTGTTTCGCAAGTCATCTTTTTTTTAAAAAAAACGTCATGATAAATTCCAATAATTAATTTAAATTGAACTTTTATATTTAATAATTACAATGGTTCGGGTCTGAGTGGTTTACAGTTTAAAAAAAACCACTAGCTTTCCTCAACTGTGTCTAACACCAGCTGTTTTCACAAAGAAACTAGCGTGGAAATTGGTGACATCAATGTCAAGGCGATAGGGTCGCCTTGAGAACGAGGGTAAAAGCTATTTGATGGATTGGAGTACTGTGCTGTTATCCGAAGTACCATCGTTGACCCATCCGACTGGGATGTGCTTGAGATGCTGACACTACGTATTGCAGACTGCACCTTTAATTAAGTGGTTATTTCATTCAACCAAATGTTGGGCGATCAGGAAACGACAATGCAAGAGAAGAAGGTTACAGTTTTGATGCATTCATAAGAAAAATAAGCCGATGCGACAATAAACGAATGTAACGCAAGATAATAATCGAAGGTTTTTTCTTTTTTTTTTTTTCCTTCTCCTCTACCTCGCCTCTTAGGCTATAAGGGGTTTTCCCGGGCCAAGGTTGAGGGCGAGGGATTAATGCCAGAGTTAAAAAACCACGGGCATCAGAACGATAACTCGTAGTTGTTTTTTTTTTTTATGTGTCCTCCCCTTCCTCGCATTTAAGGCTATATGGGGTTATTTCGGTTCAGAGGATGATGGCGGGGATAAATGGCAGAGTGAAAGACTCCTTCGGCACCGGGACACAAACTCGTAATTATTTTTATGCAGTTATCTTATATATTATTTATAACTATATATCAAACGTTAGCCCACTCGGCCACCCCGCCCCTGCATATTCGAAGGTATATAATAACGTTGTTAATTGAAACATTGGTCAAATAAATAAAATTTAAATAAAAAAAAAAAATTATAATATGGGTTCCCGAGACTCCTTGGGTTCTAGGAAACGACTTTAAGGAAATTGTAATTTAGTATATATATATATATATATATATATATATATATATATATATATATATATATATATATATACAAAAGGAGATAAGCAGGAACGAATCTAAATCAATTCCTGAATTCAATAGCACCACAAATATCGATAATGTGGATAGCTTTGTTCATCCTAAAATAAATCCTGACATAATACATTTTCTAAATGTGTTACAAAACAGATTGCAAAGTCTTTCGCAGTTATAAAAGAAAAGATTTATTCTTTTTTTTTTTTTATTATTGCATCACATCTATTCAGTGGAGTGTTGTACATCAAAAGAGTTCAATGGTGGCTCTGCCTATAAACGAGACGTTTCAAAGAATTCCGTAGTAATGGGAATACATTTACATTTTTTTTTTTTTTGTTCTTGTGAGGTGACTGACGAAAACGATAAAACAGTTTTTCTCTTAAG